TGACGACAAACGATCGCGCTATTCGGATTTGAGCGCAGGTATTGCGCGCTGAGGAGATAAAAGGTACCATCCATAGTTGCAATTCCCTCGCCAACATTGACCAGCGTGCTGCTGGCCGCACAACCGGCGGGCGCCGTGCCACCCTCAACTGAACAGAAAGCCCACTCAAATGGCACTACCTTTTGCCAGACAGCAGGCATCCAAGCAGGCCAGTCCTTCATTTTAGCGGCGACGTCGCTTCCGCACTCAAATTTCAGTGGGAAGTCTGCAGGCGAAAAGGGACTATAGCGAAGTTGAACATTGTTGCTGATTTGGGTGTTCAACTTGTCCACATAGAACAGGGCATCTCGAAACTCAATTTCGTTGGACTCGATGACGGATTCACCATCAGATAGAGCGCATGAGATGAGGCCATTGTGGGCGGCAGGACGTTCCTTATTCGGTGAAAAGGTGATGTTGAAAGAGGCACCTTCACGGGACCAGAGAGTGTATCCGACAGTGAGCTGGCCGCAGTTCACTTTGCCCTGTTTAGGCCTGTCCTCTAGCTGGTGACAATTAGCTGCTTTTGAGGTATCTTCACGACAACACAGACGAATTTCCTTGAGCGCGGCTGAAGATGAGGGACGCGGCGCGGTCTTACAGTCAAACTGCGCGTACTGAGTGCTTAATACACTCCGACCCAAGAAATACACGTAACGAGATGTTTGCGAAAGGGCATCCAGGATGACGGTGGGCTGTCGGTCATCCAGATAGATGGATTCCGCAGAACTCGCATCAGGACTTTGAAAAAATTCCAATAGTTCGTTTGAATTGACTAAAAAAGAACAAGAAATTTATGAAGCAAAAACTCGTGAAAATAGTTTAAATTTAGGTAAGTGTTTGGGAAAAAATATGCAATCCTAACCAAGAATGAAAAATAGTCAATGAAAGGGAATAAAGTCGTGGAGTTTTATACCAATATGTATGGTAAAATGTTTCTATTTACATGATAAAGTAACAAATAACAGTCTTGCTATCGAAGCCCCCGTTGGCGACTGTCATATATTACAAGAGACTGGTCACCGTCTACAATTGGCCATGGTGCGGGTTGAGTACCACGTTTGGTTATGTCAGCTTCCCATTTATACGCGAAGTTAACTTGAAATGTGCTCCATGCTGCATCCAACACTTCATAGTGTGATAAATACAATTGAAGAAAAAGTTCCTGTAGTCTAGAGGAATCTTTGGCAAACGTAAGATTTTTTTAAAAATTTAAACCGTATTATTGTAAGGCCGAAGACTTAATGTGCAGACAGTCATGTTTATGACATGGATAATACAGGAAACAATAGTAAAGAAATAATGTTCCTGTATGCATACAAATTTCCATATTAACCTTAAGACGAGTAATATGGAGCATTTAATAGCAAAATACAGCCTTATACGAAACTAAAATGTGCAACTTCGAAGATACAATGCAAAAACCAGTGGTGGAACAAATTGCTAAATATATTTTAAAAGTAAAATGACGCCAATCATATATTTAGCAATGCCTACGGAAGAGCCAAAAATTTATATCCATACGTAATACTTACTTTGTAAAGAAAATTGGAGAAGCGTGCAAATCCATAAAAGTTTTCCAATGATAGCCATGATCGGAGCGGCCGGAAAACCGGTCCACGAGATTTCAGAGCGCGTTTAACTAACTAGTGTTCAAAATAACCTTAAATATTGAGTGAATTAAACAAGATTAATCACCAAATCTTGCCACTGAAAGTGAAATTTTAAGTGAGTTTGGGACCTAACCGTTGTTATTTTATAACAGTTTTCGGATTTTTGAAAAGTAATAAGCATCGTAAATC